ATACAATTCCAAATCTGGGAGTGCAAAACATCCTCTGTGTTTCGTATCAATGAGAACCTTCTGTTTTATCCTAGATTTCTTCCCTCTCCAGATAACTTAGATAGATCTTTTCACCAGTCTTTTAGACATCATGTGTCATTAAGTATTAGGATTGTTTAGACAGTTTCCCATAGCTTAAGGGAAGGGTTGTAGTTTATAGGAAGAACATCAGCTTTGCATGCAGAAGGTCTCCATTCAATCCCCAGCATCTTGAGAGAGAGCTGAGAGAGACTGCTGCCAGACAGTGTTAACCCTACAGAGTTAGATGGACCAACGGTCTGCCTTTGTCTTAGACAGCCTCCTGTGGTTCTCCACCCCACCCATTTCTCCTCTACACAATCTATTTTTACTACCATGCACATGGCAAAACAGAACACCTCTTCTGAGCATCTTTTGATCCCAGGCGCCACTCGCCAGGGCTTCACCCTGGAAAGTTGCATTCAGATGCCGGTCTCAGACCATCATTTCGCAGCTGAGAGAGGCAGCGGGCAAACGCCTGCCATCTCCTGCCAACAGCTGGGAGGCAGCTCCAGGTTTCCGGCTGGCAACTGAACTACCTTCTCCGCAGGAACTGAAGAAAAGAGTAGGAATCAAACAAAGGCTCAGCTGTGTAACCTGTGCATAGGAGATTAACTTTCCCAAGGGTTGCAACCTTGAAGGACAAATCCTGCTGCCCAGTTTGAGAAAACAATAAAGCCGATGGATGAGGAGGAAGTACAAAGTATTTGCAGCAAAGAATCAACTGGGGAACAGGTTTCTGTTTGCACAGAGGCTCTCAATTCAAATCTCAGCTCTCTACTTGGCCTTAGGGACGCCTCCCAGGACCGCTGTGGCGATTTATTTATAGGTGCGTGAAAGCACTTTGAACACCTGAAACTCTCTATACAAATTGTTCATGGGGGACTAGACCTTTACTGTTCACAATGGCTAATGGAGCCTCTGCATTCAGGAGCTGTCTACCTGTGAGCTAGTTCCAGATGTTGTGCATACAAAGCAGAGGATGGAATGGTCCTCCCCTTCCTGGCCTGAATGTGGAGTTCTTCCCAGGGGCATGTGATTGGCCATGGGCAGGGACAGGTTGATGGGCAAGGCATACCAGAGGTGGGTAGTCGATCCGGGCAGAGGACCAGCCTGTTGTCCCCTCCTTGTCACTCAGGCAAAGATTGACCATGCAGTGCCCAGTCAATGTGGTAAGGGATGCTCAAAAACTCCAGGTAGGAGACTGAAGCCCCTGAGCAAAGAAACTAGTGCTGAAATTAAACAGGGGGAGATTTAGGGGAACAGGACCAATTCAGCTGCACTGGGTGTGGAGTCTCAGGGGCGCTGCCTGGGGTGGCACAACTATGATTTAGAATGGAACATGAGAGGTGGATTGGGGCCACAGAAATTTGAGAACCCTAAGATCCAACGCTGGTTCAACCCCCAAAGAGGGATAGAAGTCTTCTCAGAACCCACTGGGCACTTCAAGCCCCTTCTGAAACAAAAAGAATTAAAAGGTCTTTTCTCTCTCTTGCACCCCACCCCTCCAGGTGATCCTTACTAGGCAACTGGGCCAGTTAGTCTTCCCCAGCCTAGCCTCCCTCACAGGGTTGTTGTGAGGCTAAAATGGGAAGGGAGTAGAGAACCATACCTTGAGCTTTTTGGAGAAAAAACAATATATAGATAAAGGTAAAGGGACCCTTGACCATTAGGTCCAGTCGTGACCGACTCTGGGGTTGTGGCGCTCATCTCGCTTTATTGGCCGAGGGAGCCGGCGTACTGCTTCTGGGTCATGTGGCCAGCATGACTAAGCCGCTTCTGGCGAACCAGAGCAGCGCACGGAAACCTTCGTTTACCTTCCCGCCGGAGTGGTACCTATTTATCTACTTGCACTTTGAGGTGCTTTTGAACTGCTAGGTTGGCAGGAGCAGGGACCAAGCAACGGGAGCTCACCCCATTGTGGAGATTCGAACCACCGACCTTCTGATCAGCAAGTCCTAGGCTCTGTGGTTTAACCCACAGAGCCACCTGCATCCCTGATATATAGATAGATAGGTAACATTATTTGGCATTATCCCAGTGAAACTGGACCCCAGTTTTGGGCATTAGTTCTACCATCATCAGCTCAGCCCTGGAAAGCCACCAGGCATGTTTCTGTTCTGATTGTACCAACAGGCTCTGATAACATATCACATATACACAGAACAGGGCATTCACTGATTAAAAAAAAACCAAAAACAAATATTTACACCCAGTTGATTCCCAGCTTAATTCTGTTTCCTAGTCTATGCAAAATCATGTTCCCAGGTGATTTGCAAGTGTCTAGCATCACTAGTCATTTCTATACACAAGTCAGGCAGGACTTCGGGGAGAGGGGGAGACATGCTCCAAAATTACTAGTTTGGGAAGCACTTACTCCTTTGAGCAGCAGCTAGTAACAAAAGGAGAGAGTTGTGATTCAGATTTTGTGCTCCTTCCTCCCCAACAATGTTCGGCATCTGATGTGCTTGACTGTGTTAGGCTGCAAGCCAATAAGAAGCTGTGTAACTCATCCATCTAGGCTGCTGCCCTTACTAAGCCTCCCAGCAATGCAATAACTTGGGTTTCATACTCATGCCTAATTCTTTCTGAATGAAAAGGACACATTGCACCATCTGAGAGTACTAAAACAACTGCCCATGCACTCTTCTGAGTTTTGATTGCACCTTGCCACCACAACTGTCCCATCCAGACTGAATGTTGCCTTTCTGCCCATCCTAGTTACATATTGCAAGACAACTTTGTGAAAAGAAATGCATACTTTGAAGCAATAACCTCACTATTTGAGCTACCCAGGGAGCCACTATTCTCTTTGACCCTGGCAAACAAGGCCCCGGTTTCTTTCCAGTCAAGACAGAAGACCCAAGTGTAGCATCTTGAGGAACTAACAGATGCAGTGACAACGGCGGCATTTGCAAACGGTAAACAGAAAAATGCAACATGATTCAAATGATGAATGGGCTACGCATCTGCGCAGACAACACTATGGTTCAGTGAGAAAAGATGCCCCCGTCTCCCATTCAGCCAGCCTCTCCTCCGAAGCCTGAATGAGGACAAGGTGACATTTCTCTCCCCCCCCCCCCCAATAGAAGGCCTGCTCTTGAAAGCATCTTTGCAGGAGCAGGAAACGGCTCCCAGGGACCTGGGAGATCTCATCAACTCCCCCACCTCCGCCCCCAAGAACAAAATGCTTAGAAGTCATTTAAGGCATGTTTTGAGAAATTGAACATAACTTATCTAAGCAATCCATCCATCCCTCCTCCCTTAAGCTGCCCATCCATCTCCCAGGCTGTCATCTCCTTCTCCACCCACCTGCCACCACTGTGCTCCATCCTGTTCCTTCAAGGTATCCATCACTCCCCCCAAAAAAACACCTCCCCACTGCCCCCCTTCCACCCTCTTGCACCAGCCATCGCTCCCAAACACCTACCCCTCCCAAGCATTGATACCCACTGCATCGTCTCAACATCCCCTTCCCTTCCTTCCTTCCTTCCTTCCTTCCTTCCTTCCTTCCTTCCTTCCTTCCTTCTTCTCTCCCTCCCCACATTTTACTTTCCACGCCAGGCAACTACTTTCCCCTTTCAGCACTTTCTCCCCCTCTAGGAAGTAACAACAATCCACGGTGCCTATTCCATTTCCCCTTACAAACAGGTGTATTATCTCACTTTCTCTCTCACGCACACAAAGAACGATCTTAGTCATTTTATACACTCCAGAGACCCACCCTTGGCGTTCCTCAGCTGCCTCTTCGCCTCCCCAGCCTTTCAAAACAGAGGATCACAGCAACCTCCACGCATACGGTCTCTGGAGTTCTCTCCCCCCCGCCCCCTCCGCCGCCGCCTCCGCCAGCCACCACGCTACACAACCATTTTGTGGATACACACACAAGTGTGATGTTGAGTTCCTCGCTCCCTGCCGATGAGGAGATTTAATCACCAGCAGCTCGGAAGCTCTTCTGGGGACCTGAGCCCCCAGAAGCATGGAGGCAGAGTTTGATGGGAATCAGAAAAGGGGTGTCACAATGCGGGGGGAGAGAGAGGAATGGGGGGAAATCATCTTCGCTCCCCAAAAAGGAGACTGGGACCCAATATAGCGAAGTGGGCATTCTGGCCAAGGAGGAAGGGCAAGGACCAATGAAAAGGGGGAGAGGGAAGGAATTGGAGTCGCCCACTGAAACCGACCAGAGGCATAGAAGGAGAGCACGGCCCCTTATTCCTGGGGGGCACGGGAGCCCAAGACGGTGAAGGGCACCCCGAGATGGGTCGGGAGGAACTAAGTTTAGGAAACTGAGGACCAACTGCCATCCTTATCTGGGCGCATGGGGCGGGGAGGAGGGGAGCGGCGGTAGAGTCCTGGATTGCAGAGGGCGCCCCGGAAAAGATGGGGCTACCCCCCCAAGCCCGGGTCCCTAGGAGTCCTGGAAGATGAGAGCTCGTCGGCGCCTTCCAGGCTTCCCCTAAGAAAGGACGGCACGGTTTAGACCTCTCAGAGGGAAAAGGGGTCCTGTGGCATCCTTCCTTAAGGGGGAGGGGGGAAGCATCCCGGATTGGGGAGGGGGAGTCTCTCTCTTGAATAGATAGGACCCAGGAGTCCGAGGATAAGAGGGCTCGGGGAGCGAAAGGAGCCAAGCCACCCCCCACCCCAACCACCCTCTTGTTACCCCTGGAGGTGCAAGATGGAAGCGCAGCAGGCTCTGCCCGGTTGGCTTCGCTTGCGGCGGGTCCAGAGAGAAGCGATTGCCGCGGCTCTCTCTCTCTCTCTGGCCAGGGGGGAAGCCGAGCTCGGCGGGCGCCGGGCTGCAGCTGAACCGGAGGCGGGGCGCTTCTAGCAGCAGCAGCAGTGCAGGCTTCTCCTACCTGAGTGGCTCTCCCGGGCTGGGATCTGCAGGCTGGCCGGCTCAGGTTTTGCTTCCCCCGACACACGCACTCGCTGCAGCCGGGGAGATGAGGCGGCTTGTTGCAGCTGCTGGGGCTCGCAGAAGCGACGCGCTGCGATCCGGCGGCGGCGGCGAAACCGCGTCCAAGGAGCACCGGGAGAGAACGAGCCTAAGGGCGCCCCCGGGTGGCGAGCGGAGGAAGCGCAAGGTGCCAGAAAAATCCCGGGTGCGGGGTGTTCGAACGTGGCGGGGAGAGAGAGAGCGGTTAGGGTGCAAGTGTTTATGTGTATGGTTAGAAATATGGTGCCAGATTTCTAAAATAAAATTAGGCACCCAAAGCAAAACAGCACGTTCGAATTATGACATCGTGTGTTCGGTTGCCAAACGAAATGCGTAATGATGTCAAACTGAGATCAGTAAAAGGGGGGCGAATAATAACAGGATGGAAGCAGGGCAAACCAGTGGAAGCTTGCATGGTGGGGCATATGGGGCACCGCCCCACCCCAGTCTGCTGTTAGCAGGCTCCCACCTGTCAGCCTTTTCACTTCCAGCCAGTCCTGGGGGTGGCCCGGGTTGCCAGTTCCTCCTCCTCCTAACTCCCTGGTTGTGTACATGTCACCGGCTTAAAACTCAGCGAGGTTGTGTGTTTTTCTCAACTTGGATGGAGGGTGGCATAGGCAGGGGGGAAGCCCATCGAATTGCAGTATTTTATCTTTTAAAAAACCGCTAGGACAGGAGCAGGATACATACGGATTGTGGCAACCATCATATGCACACACACCGGATCCCGAACCAGCGGTGGGAGCGCACTGGGCGCAGAGGAAAGCAGAGTTTACACACAGCTGCGGTCTTGCCCCTTGTAGAGCTCAGCAAGGAGGCGAGTGGCTGCAAAGCAAGAACTAGTTGCCTCTGCCTGCCATTGGCTCTGTCTCTTGCCTGTCACTAGATCTGGTTCCACCTACTGTTGGGCGCTCTGCCTTCCGCCCCAGAGGCCTCAGTGGACACCAGCCACCGCTGCTGCAAACATCTTTAGAAAGATCAGCACAACCTTAATCACAATAACTTCTGGAGCACAGGGCCCAGTAATATTATTGGGGTGTAATGCAGAGATATAAGAGGATCTTTCTGCAGAGAGATACCAATTGGGGGGAGATATATGGGGAACAAGAGGGTGTTCGCAGTGAGAGATAGGGGGCAAACCCTGAATATTGGGGGCGATGGGCTGGGGTGGATAAAGAGATTTGCGGAATCGAAATAATGTGTGTGTGTGTTTTATTAGACATGTCATGGGACTATTACTGGGGTGAAACAAGTCAGCTGCCAATATGGTTGCTAGCAGAAGATGGGAAATATATTTGGGGGGAGGCGGAGGCACCCAATGCAGGATGAAGCCCACACCTTTGTTCAGTGTCCCTGGCTTCTGGGATTTGCCCTGCAGCCTCACACAGAACGAGGGAGATAAAAGGAGAGAGGAGCATCCTTCTAAGCTTCTGGCTGTTGTGATAAGCAGAGGAGCCGGAGCGGCGAGGAAATGTGGCAACCGTGATGGGAGGAAAGGGGGCAGAGTGGAAGCAGTAATGGACAGAAGAGGAGCAAAGCGGAGGCGTTGAGATTCGAGAGTGTTGGTGTCTCTGCCTTAAAACGCTACACGGTAAAAGAGAGGGATTAATCCCAAGGCCTCTTCCCAGAAATGTTATGGGGATGCAGCAGAGGGAGGGACGTGGGAAACGATATAGTAAGAGGTGCCTGCGTTCCTATAGGGCTGCCACGCTTTTTAAAGGATTTCTGTGTCTTTACGGGGGAACATGACATGCGGAGCAAAAATGCAGCCAGTGTAGCTTTCATACAGCATGATGGAGTGGTGGAGAAAATGTCCTGCCGAATTTCTGCCTCTTGTGCGGCACTTAAAAGTGCTATGGTTGGGGGTGGGAAGTAAGGTCCTGCCAAAGGAAAGCGACAGGGAGAGGGAAGGAATTGAAATTTGAAGAGGTCAGTTGTGAAACGGGGGAAACGAGCTATTTCTTCTGTTATTCACTGTGAAGGAGAGGAGATTCCACCTCGTGACGCCCCCACCCCACCCCCATTGTGGACACATAGCAGCACCTTGGGAGGGAAACCAGTAAGAGAGGCATCCGAACCCCCAGCTGCATCCAGCGTTCGGTCACCCCTCCAGGAAATATGGGGAAGATGAGCAGCCTGCGGGTGCCCCCTGCTGGTCAGAAGGAAAGTTCTTCTAAGGATGCTGAAGGATGGAATGGGATGCAGGCAGGGCCAGCCCAAGACAATTTGGTACCCAAGGTGAATCGCAAAAGAGCACCTCTCCTCACCAGCAGGGAAGAATGGATGAAGATATACAAGGATGGAAAAAAAGATCTACATGGGGATCTGTGGCTCCTGCCTCCTGAGGTGGTCACCTCATGAGTAGGCCGGCCCTGGATGAAGATGGGGAAACACCTTGAGGGGGGGGGGACATGTGGCCCCACAGACGTTGCTGGACTCCAACTTTCATCTGCTACATCCAGCATTGCCAAAAGGTCAGGGGTGATGGGAGTTGTTGTGCAGCAATATCTGGAGGGCCGCAGGTTGCTTAGCCCTGGCTTAGAAAGACCAGGTATTCTTTTATTTATTTATAAAATTTATATGTGACTTGATTGTAAAAAACAACAAAGCAAAACCTCAAAGCCATGTACAGAAAGACTAAAACAACAACACTGTTAATAAAAGCAGCTAAAAACTATTTTAAATGTTCAAAAAAAAATAATGAAAATCAACAATGAGCTAAAAGCAGATCAAAATACAGCTCAGCATTCTATATATCTGGGTAGGCTTGAACAAACAAAAATCATTCTTGGCAGGGGTACAGTGGTACCTCTGGTTATGTACTTAATTCGTTCCGGAGGTCCGTTCTTAACCTGAAACTGTTCTTAACCTGAAGCACCACTTTAGCTAATGGAGCCTCCTGCTGCTGCTGCTGTGTGATTTCTGTTCTCATCCTGAAGCAAAGTTCTTAACCCGAGGTACTATTTCTGGGTTAGTGGAGTCTGTAACCTGAAGCGTATGTAACCTGAAGCATACGTAACCCGAGGTACCACTGTACAGTGAAGATGGGTACTAGGCAAAGAGTTCTAAAGTGTTGCACACTAAAAGACTGATTTCTTAGAGATGCAAAATAGGTATTGTGTGGCACCTGCACAGTGCCCATTCTGCAGACCAAAGTGGTTGAATGGTACTAGGGTTTTGCACATTGATTTCCACTCTTTACATAGTCTCACAGGAGGACATTGTTCCTGCTGATCCCTAGTTGTCTAGGAGAGCGAATTTCTCTGTCACCCTAATGACATACGAACATTACTCCATCTACCCAATTAGGAAATGTGTGCACATAGGCCATTACGTCTACTGCAAATCTGTACACTTTCTAGCTGTTGATGTACAGCAGTTAGTGATGTCAGGCTCAGAGAGCCAGTGTGGTGTAGTGGTTAAGAGCGGTAGATTCGTAATCTGGGGAACTGGGTTCATGTCACCGCTCCACCACATGCAGCTGCTGGGTGACCTTGGGCTAGTCACGCTTCTCTGAAGTCTCTCAGCCCCACTCACCTCACCGAGTGTTTGTTGTGGGGGAGGAAGGGAAAGGAGAATGTTAGCCGCTTTGAGACTCCTTCAGGTAGTGATAAAGTGGGATATCAAATCCAAACTCTCCTTCTTCTTCTTCTTCTTCTTCTTCTACTACTACTACTACTACTTCCTCCTCCTCCTCCTCCTCCTCCTTTGAGACTCCTTCGGGTAGTGATAAAGCAGGATATCAAATCCAAACTCTTCTCTTCTTCTGTATAAAGCCAATTAAAGACTGTAATTCTGGCCAGTTTGTGTGCCATGGATATCTCTGCATCTAAACACCCCAAAGAGTATAATTTAGCATGCTTACCGCCCCCGTCCCCCTGTGACCTGCTAAAGCCTTGGAGACCTATATTCATTTAGAAAACGACTTCTATAAAAAAAGAGCAGATGGTTAAGATGGCACAACTTGTTTTAAGCTCATTGGAAATTCAGGTGTTGTGCATGCAAAATCTATGTGCAAATGTAAAGAGATCACCTGTGTGCATGCATTAAGAAAAGGTGTTTAATGGAACAGGATTTTGTTTAGAGGCAATGTATGTGGAGTCATGTAAAGGGTTAAATGTGTAATACTAATATCCTCTAATGGTGGGGAACTGGGTTCTTTTAGATAATGAGAGGGGATTGTAAAATTACACTTCTGATTGGCTGACTAGGTAGAAATTCTTGGTCATATATTGAGCGGGGAAAGTGGTCTGCAGAGGGGAGACTCCTATTCCACTCAAATCTGATTGGCTGAAGGGTAGTCTGCCTGAAACATGAATAGGCCTATTCTACAATTTGGAGGGGAAGACAAGGACGAAGAAGACGAAGACAGAGGCTGGCAGAAGATGAGGAAGAGGCTATTTGAGGCTAGGGGAAACCTGGTTGTGTAGCTTGCTCCAAAACACCCAAACCACAGGCTTAAGCCAAGGATTAGCAGTGAGGCCAGATAAAGGTATTGAGCAGCGAGGAGAATTCAGCAAGCAGCTTACGGAGCTAACCAGAGCGAAAACCGTCTGTAACCCTGGCTGAAAGGAAACCAATTGAAAACTGCAGTACCTGGTGGTGAGATTTGTCCGGGGAAGAGGGACTAAAGGCAAACCTAAGTAAGACTTTAGTCAGCGAGTCAGGTTTTTTTTTACCTTTCTTATATTTATAATACTGAAAGAATATCTTGCTGCTTTAATGGGGAAAGTGTGTCTCTCTGGCTTTGTGCCACGTCTAAAATACCACAGCTGCTGGGTTGTAGTTAAAGATGTTGGTGAGCAACTACAGTACACACATTTTGTGCCAGCGGCCGGAAAGGGCATCAGCTGTGGCAAATCAAAGTCGGTTCTCCACATATAAGATGACTGTGAACTTGCCACAGCATGCAAGATATCCACAGAGGGATGTGAGACACCCAGGAGCAGGCATAGGCAAACTCGGCCCTCCAGATGTTTTAGGACTACAACTGCCATCATCCCTAGCTAACAGGACCAGTGGTCAAGGATGATGGGAGTTGTAGTCCCAAAACATCTGGAGGTCCAAGTTTGCCTATGCCTGCCCTAGAGAGTGTTGATCAGCTTTCCCCAAGTTGGTGCCCAACTCTGCTGTTTTGGACTACAACTCCCATCACATCGGGTCATTAGCTGTACTGGCCTGAGCTGTTAGGAGTCCAGCATTCTGACAACAGCTGGAGGGTCACAGGTTAGGCACCTGTGTACTATAGCCAGGGAGCTTTTCCTGCCCCAAATACATGGCAGTGCACCTTAAAGGGGAACTAAAAGTGATGCTTGTGGAATTCATGATGGGCCCCCTTCCTCTTGCCACTTTCTGTACCAGCCATGCTCAGTACTCTGACCCCAAGAAATTTAGCTTCCAGGAAGATGCTTCTCCTGACATGGATGTAAGTGGCACGAAAGGCTTCGTGTGACCATAGATCTTGCTGCTATTAAGAGCACAGGTTTTAGTCACCAGGAAATGAGACACCCACTCCCAATGCTGCCACCAATTTTATACCATGGCAGGAAAATCCAATGTATGAAGGGCAGTATCAAAAACATCTGCAGTCTTAAAAGGACCGGCAGGTCACAATAATGCAGCCTTCACCAGCTTGGTTCACTCCAGATGTGGCAGGGCTCCCATCAGCTCTAGCTGGCTTGGCCAGTGGTCAGGGATGTTGGGAGCTGTGGCTCAGCAACATCTGGAGGACAGCAGATTGGAAAAGGCTGCAAGAATGTGGTGGCTTTTTCAGAAGACATTTGGTACATTTATTATTTTGGAGCAGTAAGTGCCAGGGTGGGGTGAGATGAAATATAAAACGTTTGTCAATGTTATAAGCGCAGTATTTTAACACAGTTCAAAAGCGATTCCTTGAGAGTTTTCAATCATAATGTTTATTCTTTCTTTCTAAATCTCTCTCGGTTTTGAATATTTGTGTTTTTTCCCATTCATAAAAACAAAGCAGCAAAACACAGAAGGTCCAGATCTGGATAGATAGATGATAGAGAGAGAGAGAGAGAGAGAGAGATGATATAGATGATAGATTGATCTGAGAAGGAGAATATATTCACCAACTTGGAGGCAGGGGCGGGGGGGGGAACAGTGTGTGCTCACGCAAGTGTGGTCTACAAAATTCAACATGACATAGTAATAACACATTCCAGCTCAGTCAATAAAAGTGCAGCAGTTAAAGCAGGCCAAAATAATAGAAAATCAAAGGAAGAAGACAATAAAAACTTATATTTTTAATTGTACTCATATACACGGATTGCAGCCTCAGTTTGATGCCCACCTACCTGGGAGTAAGCTTCACTGAATATATAGAATTATGCTGTTATTCATTAAAATAATAATAGGTTACATAACGTGCGTAAAACCAATTTATGGAATCAGCAAGCCCTGTCTTTCGATTAAAGCTTCATATACAAATCTGCAAGCTGCCCAGCTGTACCAAGCACATTTTGAAAACAGCCATTTGTAATCGAATAAAGAACCTCAATATTTCAAATCAGCATATGTTTGGTTATCAAATAGTCCATGGAATAATTGCTGGTATGTATATTGCATTCTTGCTCCTCACATTGTAACCCCTTCCTCTTTGCTCACAAACCTGAAATAAACAAACAAGCAAAAATGGGGACCACTGATCCGAATTTTGTTCCAGGGACTTCTTCCATGTTTCTTGAAGCCACTGCTGGGGGATGTTCTATGGGGCCCCTGCTCTAGATCTCCAAAATGCAGCTGTCTCATACAGGGATTGAACCTGCAACCTTGGCAATATCACCACTGTGCTTTAACCAACTGAGCTATCCAGGTTGAGCTTGCTCACAATGATTTACAATTAGGTGGGCGGGTTCTAGTGCATCTTTCCCCTGACCTGAAGATGCAGAGATAGGCAGAGCTTCATCTGTTGAATTGATGCTAGCCAGGTTGCTGCTATTAAAGGCAATGGAGCTTTACAAAAAAAGGGGCAACTCATTAGAAGTGACTAGCTAATTCATTGACTGTAGCTATTACTTTGCCAGATCCCAGCAACCCGTGATTTACTTGTCAGAAGATGTGGCGATGATGTGGGCCTTTCCAATGGAGGCTTTCCCCTCCCTTTGGTTAAGTCCAGCTTTCTGTATGCCTCTGAAAGATATAGTGCTTTGGAGCACTGCCACAGGCTATTGTAGTCTCTCTCAATTTTAACAGCGAGAAAAGTAAAGCTTTTAAACCTTCAATTAACCGGACTCCTGCATTAACAGAAATGAGCTGTGTTACTACGTGAGCTCCCTCCTGCCAGGAAGACGTGGCAGCAGCCTCCAGAGACACAAGAGAAAAAAGGGAGGTGCGAGAAGGACTCTTGCTTCTGCTGCAGAAACACAAATGTTTTTCAGAAGATCCACGGGAAACAGGGATAGGAGCAGCTTCAGGGCATCTGTCCTTGCCCCAGTTCTGTCCTTGTAGCAACAGCTCCAGTGAATGGCTTCTTTCAAAACACACTTCTCATATTTGCACCCAACAATGTATTGATATGCAGCTATTAGCTTCCAGGCACACTAATCATCTCCTTACAGTTAAGGTGTTTTAGTCTGTATCTATAGATATGTGGAATGATCATCCTGCACCCAGGCAATCTGGATGTGCTGTGATCCTCAGATGAAGGGCAATAAAATAAATTCTGCATTTCTTCAATACTGGTGGTGGTGGTGATGATGATGATGATGATTTATTTATACCCCGCCCATCTGGCTGGATTTCCCCAACCACTCTGGGCGGCTTCCAACTGAATATTAAAAACAATACAGCATCAGACATTAAAAACTTCCCTAAACAGGGCCGCCTTCAGTTGTCTTTTAAAAGTAAAATAATTGTTTATTGCCTTGACATCTGCTGGGAGGGCGTTCCACAGGGCAGGTGCCACTACCGAGAAGGCCCTCTGCCTGGTTCCCTGTAACCTCACTTCTCGCAGCGAGGGAACCGCCAGAAGGCCCTCAATGCTGGACCTCAGTGTCCTGGCTGCATGATGGGGGTGGCGATGGGACAGTATCCTCCACGGTACCCTCAAGCAGCAGGCAAGCAAGGAGATGAGGGTCCTAGGAAGGTGTCTCATCATGTTAAGTCAGACCACTGCTCCATTAAGCTTGGTACTGTCTCCACTGGCTGGCAGCAGCTCTCCAGGATTTTGAACCAGGTACGAACCTAGCTCTGCTTGGAAATACCGGGGCTTGCATGTGGAACCTTAAGCATGCAACACAGGTGGTCTACCAACATGCTATGGTCCTTCCCTGCAAGCCACCGTAGCATCTGCCATCCAAGGTGGCTGCCTAACTATGGCTAATGGCAGGGCTGGCTCTGCTTACCTAGCTTGGAGTAAGTCCCTCTTGGAATTGCTATGAACAGCGGGGTACAAATCTTTTAAATTATTTTATTTTAATTTGGAAAACAAACAAATGCACTGTAGAACTTACAGCATGCTACTGAGATGAAAAAAGGGGTGGAAATGTTTTAAATTATTATTATTTTTAATTTTGAAAACAAATGCACTGTAGAACTCACAGCATGCTACTGAGATGAAAAAAAAAAGGAGAAAACATTCAAGATGGCCTCTCCTTTCCATCTATGTATATTGGGCTACTCCCCCTGCCTCACATTTGATATATCTCATGAGACCAATAGAGGCCTGAATTTCTGGAATAAAGCCTTTGGGAATAATCAAGGTGGGAATCTAAGTACTGTGTCTGAGAGTGGGAACCCAGATAGCATGCAAGTTTTCCCACTCCCTCCCATGTCTCAAAAGGAAATGGAAAGGCACCTATTTTGGTAATCTGCACAGCTATTTAAAAACACAGTGCCGGCAAATTGCCCTCTCTTACTTCAGTGAGGCTTCGGTAGAGAAGGCAAATGGAGAAACATGGGCCAGGATAATGCATCCGTGTGAATTGATACCTAACTGTATACAAGCTGCAGCAATGGCCTTTTGGAATCTTTCTTCCCTGCCTGCCCACCAATGTTCATGGCGATTTCTTGCTAGCATATCCAAATGGCATGCTTTTATAGGCAGGAACAGATTTGAGGGAACAATTGTGGTGCAGTGAAGTACATAATAGGCATTGTAAACCATTCTCTCTCATTCCCCCGCCCACCTCCTACTGCCTAATTATGTGTATTTCTTGGAGTGGCGCTAGCAAGCTTGGATGAATTAGAAGGACCAAACACACACACCTTTTTAGGGAAATGCCTTCGTGGTTTCCACTGCAGGGCAGGGAGCAAAAAGGAAAGATCATTCAGGTTTTGCGGCAAGAAAAGCCAATGTGGTGGACTCCAGATTTTGTTAGACCAAGACTCTCTGTCCATGGAGATTTTTAAGCAGAGGTTGGATGGCCATCTGTCATGGATGCTTTAGCTGAGATTCTTGCATTGCAGGGGGTTTGGACTAGATGTCCCTTGGGGTCCCTTCCAACTCTAAGATTCTATGATTCTGTGACTCCTATCAGCTTTGCTTACCCTAGCCAATGTCAGGGATGATGGAAATTGTAGCTCTGTGGGTTAAACCACAGAGCCTAGGACTTGCCGATCAGAAGGTCGGCGGTTCGAATCCCCGTGACGGGGTGAGCTCCCGTTGCTTGGTCCCTGCTCCTGCCAACCTAGCAGTTCGAAAGCACGTCAAAGTGCAAGTCCGGCGGGAAGGTAAACGGCATTTCCGTGCGCTGCTCTGGTTTGCCAGAAGTGGCTTAGTCATGCTGGCCACATGACCCAGAAGCTGCACGCCGGCTCCCTCAGCCAATAAAGCAAGATGAGCACCACAACCCCAGAGTCATCCGTGACTGGACCTAATGGCCCTTTATCTTTACCTTAATGCCTGATGAGCACCGTGTTGACTGTCCCTCTTTTACAGAAGACAGAGTCGTAAACCATGGCAAAAATAGGCAAGTCTGGGATGGTACAAAGCATTGTGAGCTTGTACACTTTTCTTTTTCATGGTTATCAAAGGAGAGGTGGGGGGGGCTTTTAATCTCCCAAACCAGCACTAGAACTCAGCTCTGTTTGGGGCCCTTGCTAGCTAATCTGGATGTTAACATAACTCATTATTTCTAGTGTTGTGATATTTAACAGATTAATCAATTGGACTTTTTTTTAAAGTTACTTTAAAAAGTACACCTAAAGAAATCAGACAGATTTTTATTTAAAAAATTGTTCCCTCTATTTCTAAAGTTCAGAGGTGAGTGTCATTGCATATTTAGCCATGGTATCAGCATGCTCTGAAAAACCCTGAGGGTTGCAGAAATATAGCCAATCAAATAAAATAACAAGAAAACAAATCCGAAAGGGTGTTGGGAAGTTGAAGGGCAACTCAGCTTGCTTGGAAGGGTCTGTGTTCGGGTTAAGACAGATATAGTGGGACACCTCCAGCTTTCTGAACAGCCTCTTTCCCCTACTCTAACGTTGCTCCCTATTTCGTTATACAAAGATATTAAAAGCTCATTTCACAATGAAAACAGCAGAATACAGTGTCCCATCCTTACATGCTAGCTTTCTGCCTGCAGGGCTATCGCGGAGAAGAGAGCAAAGAGTTGTTGTTTGCTACTCCAGAAAGCAAGACTAGGTCTAACAGTCTTAAGTTATAGAAGGGTAAATTTCAGAAACGTAGCAATATAAATAATTGGGACAATGAAATTAACTAAGTAGAGGGATGTCAGATTCTCCCTTGCTGGAGGCCTCCTCCCTCCTCATCCTCTTTCCTCAAGTCTCTTCCAGCACGAGCATGGGCAAGAGCATGGGTAGGCAAACCAAGGCCCGGGGGCCGGATCCGGCCCAATCGCCTTCTCATTCTGGCCCTCTGGGTTATTTGTGGAGCCTGCCTGGTGTTTTTACATAAGTAGAATGTGTGCTTTTATTTAAAATGCATCTCTGGGTTATTTATGGGGCATAGGAATTTGTTCATCCCCCCCCCAAAAAAAAATATAGTCTGGCCCCACACAAGGTCTGAGGGATAGTGGACCGGCCCCCTGCTGAAAAAGTTTGCTGACCCCTGGGCAAGAGGCTGGCGTTGTGGCTCAAGCTGCCCATGAGAACTGACCATCTATCCCTGGCCCCTCTTCCGTCAACTTGAGTTGAGGGGAAGAGTGGGACCAGGGTGGTGAGGGAGGCGGGAAGCCAAATGCAAGGAAACCCCCCCACAACACACAAAGTGGGAGAGGATTTGGTGTCATGAAAGTGTGTGTGCCCAATCCCCACCCACCCCGACCTGTCCCGTATTTTGCCCAACCAAAGGTGACAACCCTATTTTCCTATCAGTGCAAGAGGCTCCTTTCCTATGTATGGGGAGTGCTTTTAGATTTGTGCGACTGTGGGACTCTCATGCCTACAACCTGAACTTGTACAGTCTAGGAACAATTTACCACCTCTGCACAGGGGGGTGGGGAGGGAGAGAACAAGGTGATTAAACTTTAACATCTCCCACCTACAGCCAAGAAATTGATACGGAGCTATTAAGGGACTACCTAAAATCACAGAGGAAATCAGCAGTCTAGGCTCCAGGCTTTTAACACAGTTTGAAGATCCATAAGAGTCCAGGCAAAGTTTCTCTCTCTCTCTCTCTCTCTCTCTCTCTCTCTCTCTCTCACACACACACACACACACACACACACACAACTTACTTTGTTCAGATGGCTGGCTGCAATGTATCTCCCCCCCTCCAGCTGACATCTGTACAAATCTTTCTGATTTTGGTGCTGGAGGCCTTGTAATTACTCTCATCAAAAGATGTTTACTTCTGTCTGCCTCGTTTATGTAACGAGAAGAAATAAAAACTGTCATTTTTAAAAGC